AGGTGGACTACTGGGTTCAGAACTGTGCTGTCTACCCTAAGTGAATCATTGTGCAGTATATGCATGTATTGAAAGAACACACTGTGCCCCCAAAATATGTACAAATAAATGTTTTTTTTAAAAGTCACCATTTCTATAAAAAATTGGGCAAAGGGGTGAGAAGAGAGCAAAAAAAAATCCAACTTTTGCTCTTTTTACAGGGGAATTTGGTAAATCTACTGGGATCATAAGCAACACTTTATAAGTGATATAAATACTTAAAATAACTGAATTAAGATCACTTTCTAATAGTTTAGTTCATTTCAACAGACATTTGAGGACTTTATTAAAAAGTTTTAAAGAAAAATTTAAAGATAAAGTAATTTTATGGCCGTTTTGACTTCTTTTAGTGGTGACACGGAAATGTTTAAAATTGACTAGAATAGGGCCGGCCTGGTGGTGCACTGCTACAGTGCGCCGCTTGGGAGTGCGGCGGCGCTCCCGCCGAGGGTTCGGGTCCCACATACAGACTGGCCGCTCACTGGCTGAGCGAGGTGCGGGTGCAGCACCGAGGGTTGCGATCCCGTTGCCGGTCCCGGTCCGGTGCGGGCGCGACACTGAGGGTTGCGATCTGTTGCCGGTCACGAAAAAAAAAAAAAAGACAAAAAGGAAAAAAAAAATGACTAGAATGTTTAGTGTTCTAAACTATATGAAGACTTCATGAATTTTCACTAATTAGGCCTGAGATCATTCAGTACTATTTATTTTTAAAAGGCTGAATTGTATAGTATTTATAATGAAGTACAATTTATTGGCTAAAAACGACTGTTGCCAAGGATAGGTCCTATTGCACCTTCCTCAAGGTGTCACTAGCTTGTTAATCATAGTTGTGTTTTTGCAGGATAATAGTAGATTATATTACCAACCTCTGTAGCAATTATTTCTACCTACCTGTATCAGTATTTTAAAATATAATTTAAAATAATAAAATATAGGGAGGTAGAGATAATAAAGATTTATGGTTTTGAGGGAGAATACTAACGTATGAAAGAAATAAGATGGTTAGGGAGATTCATTATTGGTGAAGGAATATTTTGTCAAATTTATCTAGGGACCTGATAAAAGCAATGAACAGCTGTGGTTAGCAACAAAGCACAGGATTCTACAGATCCCTCTCATGTGGGCAGCTCCATTCTCATAGCCAATGGCTAACATTGAGTGTGTTATTTGGACAAGGACAAGGTTTAAACTGGCTTAGAATCTGAACTATTTTATTTTCCTTCCTGGCTTCCAGGGATAATCCAGGTCAGTGATTCCCCACCTTTTCAGAGTTTTAACACCCAACTGGTCATGTTTGTTCAATTCCTTGATGCACATGCATTCATTTTAAAATGCGTTCTATATTTACACATACATGTAAATATATCTTTTTTTAAGAAAAGAATTAATATCCATTTCGTGTGGAAAATTTAAGAAATTTTCTTAAGATTACCAGAGGGACCCCGGGGTCTTATAAACCTAAAGTTGGGAATCACTGATACCTACTCTGCTTAAAACCTGGATGAATTTCAGGTCTCAGGCAGACCAGCAACTTAAGAGTGTTCTTATTAGGAGGAAAATGTTTCACATTTTCTTTCTTCCTTTATTCAATTATAAATCAAAAACATGCTCCTGTTCCATTCAGTCATGTACAGACTTAAAAAGTTCAGGATTCAGTTCATTTTTCATTTTAATGTCCTTAGCACAGATTCCCTGATCACAGTGCTCCACGTGGGGGCACAGGACAGGCAACATGCTGACCTGTCCTTGAATCCACAAAGACACTGAGAGGGCTAGAGATCTTCTGACATCTTGTTAGTCAGTGGCAGTTATCATTTACACAGGAGATGAGGCAAAACACAAACCCAAGCCAGAGTACCCACCCTCAAGGGATTAAGGGACTAGTAGTGGTGGGGCAGGATATCATGGAAGAAACTAAACACTCGAGGAATTTATGAGCCATTATAAACATAGTTCTCGTCTTAGAAATTGGTTCTCACCTAAAACTTTAATTTTATTAGTTTTTTAGAACTTTGTCCCTATTCTGTCCTCAAAATTGAGGCCACAAAAGCCTGAAATTACAGGTTAGAACTTACACCACTCAACTGAGATCTGAGTTTTGGGAGTCAGAGATTTTGTGACTCAGAACGGAGCAGTGAGGAAAGGAATGGGGGAAGAGATGTGTGTTTTGGGGTTTTTTTGGTTTTTTTTTTTTGAGTAATTTAACTAACTTTTACTGAGCCTCTGATTATGTTTTATTAACAATGGGAAAGGAATGGGGGAAGAGATGTGTGTTTTGGGGTTTTTTTGTTTTTTTTTTTGAGTAATTTAACTAACTTTTACTGAGCCTCTGATTATGTTTTATTAACAATAACAGAGCAACAGCTACTGTTTGAGTGCTCCCTGTAAAACTGAGTAGTTTAGTAGGCCATTTACATATTTTCTCCCAAATACTTGTCACACCTATCTGTTCTTGGAGCAAGAAATTAAACATTGGTGTTAAACAGCTAGTGCACACAACAAATAAACAGACCAGCCGAGATTCAGATGTGGCTCTGGGGAACCCAGGCTGCCCTTTGCCAGGAATGAAGTACCATGCTTGTTAGTTGGGCTTTTGCTTTTTTCCTAGGGAAAAGCCAGAGCTGGGCACATTTTTCAAAGTGGGAGGCACTATCCTACTCTTCTTTCTGGCTGCCTCCCCCACTCCTTAGTCCTCTCTCTCTCTAAATCTTACTAACCTAGTGTTCTTGGAGACCCCATTGTGGCACCCCTGCTAGCCAGTCTCATCCTGCAAAGTACTCTTTTCTCCAGAGTTCTCCACTCCCCTTCCCTTCCCATTGTTCAAAACCTGTTTTCTCAGTGAAACAGATCTCATCATGCCTTTAAGGGAAAAGTATGTGTCGAAACTTCTTTTTGCTACCATGTGAAGGGCTAACAGCCTCTGGTAATCTATCCAGAGGATCTCATTTTTCTTAATGCCAAAGATGGCTTTCTAGTCTAAAGTACTTTAAAAAAAAAAAGAAGGGGGGAAGTTACAAAAATAGAGACTTGACTGTGCCCCACCAAACCCCCAGCAGTGTCTGTTTCTCAGCTGCCCCTTTCCCCCTTTTACTCTAGAATATAAAGTGCCTCTTAATGGTTTTATTCCTAGAGGAAGTGTAGGATACCATGTGATATAAAGGTAGAGGTGGTGGGGGTAGGCAGGTTTGACTATTTATGTTAATAGTGGGGACTCTCTCTACAGTTGAGTTGTATTAAATTTGGTGTGTGATAATGTTTGACCAAGGAAATGCAGGCACTACTGGGCTTATCCCTCTAAGGGGAGAGCACAGAACTATCATGGACATTGTATTTGAACCAGGTGGATAGCTCATAATTTTTGTCCGTGTACAACTTTCTTTAATCTTATTTTATTATTTTTCTCAGGCACCAATTGACAATGGTTCAAAAATCACCAACTACCTTTTAGAATGGGATGAGGTAAGCTTATTTTCATATTTATTCATCTAAAACATAATTTTACAAATAAAATTTCTGAAAAAATCTTATTCTTTTATAAGACATGCTAAACAGAAAAAAGGAATGTTAGAGAAAAATTTAAATCAGTGGTTACTGACTATGGAAAATGAGGATGGATTGAAGTAATGTAATGAATTGTACATTAAAATATGTTTACCTTGCTTATTTGCAAGCAATGCTACTGAAAGAAAACACAGGGTCTTATCTATTTTAGATCTGTAGTGTCTAGCCAGCCATTAATTTGTATTAAAAATTGACTGCTTTGTCATCTTGACTGCTTAGATGGTTTTGGTAAGGTGAAACACACTGTGGCACAGGAAGCATGATCTGTTTTTCCGTTCTAAATGCCACTTGTGTACTTGGTGTTGTGCTGTTGAGTGTTCTCTGGGATGGTGGAGCAGTACCTGGAGTTCTCACTCTACCCTGTGGGTTAGACCATCCTATAAAAAGGTTCCCTTTTTGCTGTTTTCATCACCAGAAGCCCTTGGATGGTATCCACCATGGAGTTTCCCCATCCTCAAGGCCACTCTGTGCTGACTGGTGACCCAGTGCATTTCTGGTTTAGCTAATCCTATGTACAGAATCTCAGGCAGGAAGCTCTTGATGCAGAAGCCTTTCATTTCTAAAAGCAACTGTACTTTTTGTTCCTGTATCTTAACTCTGTTTATTCATTTGCTCTCACTTTGTGCTGTCTTTCTGTGGTTGAGCAAATAGGCTAAGGAGTTTTAGAATAGGAAATGTGGGATTTGGGGGGAAAGTGCAAGTCAAACTAGTCTTTGTGACTTAAATTTGGAGGAATTTGAAAGATTCAGAACATAGGCTTTAGGCAAAAAGTGACTTGTCAAGTGTGGAAAAATATTTTAACCAAATGTAAAATGAAAACTGGATGAAATTCACAAGGTGAAATTTTGATGTGAAAGAAGAGCCCTTCATCACATTCTACAGAGGCATGTCTTTCCATCTGGACTGCATCTGAAGAGCTCTGAGTTCCAAGTTACCAAAGACAATGATCTATTGTTCTTAGGATTGTTGTGAATAACTTAGATGTGCAGATTGGTGAAATCTCAGAGTTAACAGGTGCATTTTATAGATTAGGTGGATTTCATCTTAAGGTGGTTTGATTAGAAAGTGAAACCACCTCTACAACCCTCATAGATTGTTGTAGGTAGTCAAAAATGTTGGAAGGGAACTTGGCTGACCTGTGAGCACACAGTACTATCTTTTTCCAATCTCCCCTTCCTCTGTAAGGATGAGTAAGAGTTTAGTGAAAGCCTGTTTTTATGTGTTGGTTTGTTGTACTAACCTGATGTTTTTTCTCTTGTCTTGAGATTTTGTATCAAGATAGAGTCTACCAGTAAAGAGGAGGATTTTTTTGTTTCAGATATCCTCTTAGGGCACTGTGTGTGTGCACACGCACGCCACGTGCGCACGTGTTTGCTGCTTCTGTGCCCGAGATCAAGACCTCCTAAGTTAGCAAGGTCAGAGGAGTTGAGTACTTGAGTGGGAAACCTCCAAGGAAAACTTGGGTGCTGCAGGAAATGGTAATGTTGACTCAGTTGCTGGCTCCTTCCCTTAGAATTCGAAATAAATTATCCTGACATGATGCTAAGAGGAAATATGCTACAGCCTCCAATGAAATGAAGAAGCCATGTCTGATGGCCAGTCATGCTCAGCAGGGCTTGCTTGTGGACTAATGATAACAGGATAGGTTTTTTTGTTGTTTTTAAAAAAATTTATTAATATACTTTTTTTTACATTCTAAGATGTTGTGGAGCAGGTGGGGGTGAGGGGGAGAGAGGAAGGTGGAAGGAAATAGGGTGGGAGGAGTAGGAAGGAGGGTGGGCTTGGTCAAAGCCCATGGCACCCCATTCATTCCATCAGGGGAGATCAGGGGGGTTCCAGCAGAGGCTTGGTGGTCTTCGCTGGGCTGGTTGCAGATGTTGGGGGTGGGGGCATGGCTGAGGCTGTTGGCCCCCCACCAACCTGGCTTGGGAGCCTGGGGCACTTCCTGCGGCAGCTGGGTAGTCATTGCTGGGTTGGTTGCGATGCAGGGGCAGGGGGCATGTGGCTGAGGCTCTCGGCCCCCAACACCCTGGCTCGGGAGCCTGGGACACTTCGATCACAGGAAGTTAAATGGTAGTCATTGCTGGGTTGGTTGCGATGCAGGGGCAGGGGGCATGTGGCTGAGGCCCTCGGCCCCCAACACCCTGGCTCGGGAGCCTGGGACACTTCGATCACAGGAAGTTAAATGGTTGGTTTTGGCCTTCTTTCTTTCTTCTGCTTGGTCTCCTGCCATCTTTTCCTCTCTCCCATCTCAATTCTCTGCCTTCCTCTTTACTCTTTATTTTTTCTCACCTTTAATTTCCTGCTCATGTTGTCTCTGTTGAGTTTTGCTGGAGATTCCAGGTTAATTGACTCTCGCCTACCACAGGCCTTTTGCCAACACAGGAATTTTTTTATATTCCATGGCTTAATATTCACCTTCTAGAAAAACTACTGGACCTCCAACTCTGTGAAGCATTCCTTTGCCTTCAGGTACAGTGAGCTCCCTGCAGCAAAGGATAATGGAAAGAATATCAAGATTAGGAGATAGGGGTTCTGTTCCAAGTTTTATACTGGGCAGCCTGACCTCTTTTGTCCTCAGTTTGCCCATCTGTGAAAGAGCAAATAGATTATCCCATCAGCTCATGGCATTTACATTATTTATGCTATCTCAAAATAGATTATTTAGAATTGTCTCCTTTTTAAAATTTAATTATTTTTTGTCTCTTTTTGTTTGTTTGTTTTTTGGCAGCTGGCTCGTACAGGGATCAAACCCTGGACCTTGGTATTATCAGCACCATACTCTAACTAAATGAGCTAACGGGCCAGCCCATGATTGTCTCTTCTGACAATCCTTTTCACTGTTGTTTGGCCTGTGCATGTATTATTTCAGCATTTATGGAGCATACTCCTCAGTATCTCAACATTCTGTACTGTCCTAAGAGAGGTATATGACTTAGAAATATCATGTCCTTAACATGATAACTGAAAAAGCTAATGCATGCTTATCCTCTTGTGCTTTTGAATAGAAATAAATGAAACAAATTTAGCCACATGCTTCTCGAATTTTTCTTTCTAGTAGCTTCTTTGCCTTATATTATCTCTGTCTCCTTTCCAGTCCCCCTAAAAAGATTTTAAAATGATGCCATTCAATTCCTGGCAAGGGAAATACAAGCAATAGTAACCAATTCATCCCTGCCCATTTTATTATTTTAGAAGTGAAGTTTCTGAAAGAACAGTCTGGCAGTCTGTGTTTCTAAATTTGGGGCTAGGTTGGGGATCAATAGCCCTCTTGGGGACAGAGTTGGTCTTTGTATCACTCATTCCCATGTTACTCAGGCCTTCTCTGCAAGAAGTGTGAACACATGAGGCTCTGGCTGTCCCTCTGAAACATTCTGGTAGTTTCTGGAGCCAGAGGCACCTGGTACGAGGGACTGTTTCCAGACTGTACTCTAGTGGAACTCTGTGGGACAGGAGAATGGGAAGGGGATGATTTGCTAGAATCACTCTAACCTCCCCAGAGCAAGAGCTATCCTCTCCTGGGTGCCCCCGTGGCCTCATATTTTTATTAAAGTATAACAGCACTGATTATGGTTCCAGGATACTTTATTTTTTTGTTCAATTTGTAATCATTTCAATAAAATGATTAGTGTAAAATTTTGAAATTGTTGGTAAAATGAGAGCACAGGGCATCAAGCCAAGCTTTCAAGCCTCTTAGGAAAAAACCACAAATGAAAGAGCAGCAGCCTTTATTTCCTCGGGGACTGGGAATACTGTGCTGAGTTGACCTTCTTGGAACCACCTTAGTCAATAGTTAACCACATGCTGATCTCTGAAGCCCCAAGGGCAGGTGAGACCGTAATGGGGAACAGAAAACAGAAACATGGTGTAGTGGGGTGGGGGCGGGGGTGAAGCTGATACATCATCTCTCGTTCAAGCTCACTGATTAATTTCATATCATTGTTGCATAGAATTCACTTGAATGTTACTCATTAATAGTTTTTCTCCATTAATAGCTAATTAGACAACACCTTAATTTTTAAATCAGTATGGGTAGTAACTGTGACTAAGAAATGATAATGAAATGAGCAGCTAAAAATGGGACATACAAGTGTCACTGTCTTCAGCTATGGCTCTCAGTTTCAATTTTTACCCGAAACAGATCAGTTTCTATGACTTGGAAAGGGGTGGCCTTTTCTGTCCAAGTCCACTTGCTGTGGTGACTCAGATAAGTTTTAGTGTTCACAGCCATGGGGCTTGGGAATTGGCCCTGCATTTTTTGTAGCTCTTTAGCTACTATTTTCTCCTTCAGGAGGCTCCCGATTATGAGCAGAATTGCCGAGGTCATTTTCAAGGCAGTTTTTTACTGAACTGTTGGAGGAGTCATCATCACATTTTAATTTCTTTTGAATCAAAATGTGCCACTGTCCTCATGTTTAGGCTGGCAGAAAACAGGTCTAAAGCACACAAGGGCTTTTTGGTAGATTTGAGTATTACATCTAATGCTGACTTTTAAAAAAATCTCTTTTATGAATTTAGTTTTAGCTTAATCTAGAATTATGAATAGGAGAAAAGCATCTTAATTTTTTTTTTAACAGCAAAACAATGTTTAGATGCTAGATTTCTCAAGGCAGAGGTTCTTTCCCACAATGGAGAAAGTTGGTGGGAAGGAGAAGGTGGAGAGAGTGCTGAGGCCACTACCCGGTGGGGCCCCTCGTTTTTCTTCTCTGCTGATGACATATCGGTATCTGGTAGAGGTGGGAGTTTTTCCTCTAGAAGAAGCTAGGAGAAGGTGGAGAGAGTGCTGAGGCCACTACCCGGTGGGGCCCCTCGTTTTGCTTCTCTGCTGATGACATATCGGTATCTGGTAGAGGTGGGAGTTTTTCCTCTAGAAGAAGCTGTGGGGAAAAGATTGAGCA